TAATGTGGTATCTCACATTAAATGTTTTTTATATTATTTTGCTGAGTTTTGTTGAGTCCTCCTTGCACCCCAGAGATAAATCGTGCTTGGTCATGATGTATGGTCCTTTTAATATGCTACTTTATTCAGTTAACTAGTATTTTGTTGAGGATTTTTAAATCTATATTCATCAGGAATATTGACTTGTTCTTTGCCTTTCTTGTAGTTTCTTTTTCTGGCTTTGGTATCAGGATAACACAAGCCTTATAGAATTAGTCTGCCAGTGTTACCTCCTCTTCAAGTTTCTGGAAAAGGTTGAGAAGGACTGGCATTAATTCTTCTTTAAATGTGTCATAGACTTTACCTGTAAAGCCAAATGGTCCTGGGCCTTTCTTTGTTGGAAAGTTTTTGATTACTAGTTCAATCTTCATACTAGCTATAGGCCTATCCACGAACTGTTATTTGGAACATTTCCATATAATTTATTCTTTAACCTGAAAATTATTCTTTAGTTCCAATAAATTGGGGGTTAAATTACATTATTATTTAAATTTAATGGCATTGTACATCACAGAACCATGTCTATCTGTTGACAACCGTGCCCTGAACCTACAGGATGAAAGTTTTCCCCGGGGCAGTGACAGCCCTTAGTAAGGGTAATCAATGAACCTGGTGACCAGAACTCCACCCCAGAGAAGTGGATCTGTCTCTCCTCTGATTTTTGAGGGGCTAGCTTGGGTTCCAGCACACCACCAACCCACCCACAATATCATTTGATGGTCCCTTCCGTATCTGTCCTCCCAACGCTCTGTGGATGGACAAACCTGACCAATTTTTAGGGGAATGACTTTGCTCCTCCCTGTGTTGGCCAGAAATGTTGGAACAGTGCGATTTCTCAGTGACTGATTTCCTACAGTGTTGTTTCTTCCCTCCAGGTTGGGAGACAGTAACCGCCATCCCAAGAATTCTCAATAAATTTTTATTAAGCAGAAAATATATATATAAATAAATAAATTTAATGGTACTGGGATAAAAACGTAATCTGAATAATATTGATTCTTCGTATTTGTGGAGACTTACTTAATGACGTGTGTGTGAAAAGAGTAAGTCTCTTTGCAAGGAGTATACGGAGTTTTATATATACCCAATCAAGCTTGATAACTGCATTGTTCGTATCTTCCATGAATATCTCCTATGATATTTTCACACCTGAACCATCAATTACTGGCCTCTTTGTCTAACAATATTTGTTTATACATTTTCATACTTTCTGAGGTTCACTCATGTTTTGACTTACTACATGTTCTTTTTTTTTCTTAAGATTTTATTTATTTGTCAGAGAGAGAGAGAGAGAGCGAGAGAGCAAGCACAAGCAGGAGGACCAACAGGCAGATTGAGAAGCAGGCTCCCCGCTGAGCAGGGAGCCCATTGTGGGACTCAATACCAGGACCCCAGGATCATGACCTGAGACAAAGGCAGATGCTTAACCAACTGAGCCACCCAGGCACCCCCTAAATGTTCTTGTTATTATAACATGATCCTGTTCTACTCCAATGTTTATTAAGTTGAGTCTATTCTGCCTAATATGAATATGTACATACAGGTTTTATTTTGATACTTACATTCTTTTCATTTTCATTTATTAATTATAGTGTTCTAAATCTGTCTTTTGTCTGAAGACTTCTACATTTTATTTTTAATCTAATCCAGCAATCTCTGATTCTTAAGTGAGAGTTAATCCATTTCTATTTAATCCATTTATTGTATATTTCGTTTTGGTTGTTTTTTAGATTTTTATTTGACAGAGACAGCACAAGCAGGGGGAGTAGCAGGCAGAGCAGGCAGAGCAGGCAGAGGGAGAAGCAGGTTCCCTTTGGAGCAGGGAGCCTGATGCAGGGCTCAGTCCCAGGACCCTGGGACCATGACCAGGGCTGAAGGCAGTCACCCAACTGAGCCACTCACATGCCTCTACTCTGATTTATTTGTATCATTTTATTTGAACTTTTTATTCTAAAGTTTTATTTGAGAGAGAGTGTGTGTGAATGAGAGGGTGAGGGAAAGAGACTCTGAAGCAGACTCCACACTGAGCACAGCCCAACTTGGGGCTCAATTCCACAACCGCAAGATCATGACTTGAGCCAAAATCAAGAGTCGGATGCTTAACCAACCGAGCCACTCAGGCACCCCTTATTTGAACTTGCTATTTTCCCTGCCTTTTCTTCCTCTTCTTTTTCTTTTATTGGATTAATTGTGTTTTCTTTACTCTTCCCTGCCCACCCCCCACCCTCACACCCCCTCCGCCCCGGTCTGGAAGTTAAATATTCAATTTCTACTTATGTCCTGGTTTTCCTTAAATTTTGAAATACCTACTGGATTTAACAAAATGTAAAACTGACTTCCTTGTCAAAAAATACAAAGATAGGGGCACTTGCCTTCAGCTCAGGTCATGATCTCAGGGTCCTGGGATTGAGCCCTACATCAGTCTCCCTGCTCAGTGGGAAGACTGTTTCTCTCTCCTGCTTCCCCTGCTTGTATTCTCTCGCCCACTGTTTCTCGCTCTCTGCCAAATAAATGAATAAAATATTTTAAATAAATAAATAAATAATCACTACCTTAAGAAAGACTTCCCTGACCTCCCAACTGCCCTGACCAAAGAATGGAAATAATCTATCATAGGTTCTGAGAGAATCAGATGCCTCTCCTTTATGAGACTCATCATGATTTACACATGCGCACGTATTTATTAGTGAGTTCATTTCGTAAATAGCTGTGTTTCTCGCTAGGCTGCAAACTTCAATGGGTCAGAGACCATTCCTACTCTTTGTTTACCATGGCACTGCCAATTCCTAGCATGGGGCCTAGCATGGAATAGGTTCTCATTAAAAATTGGCTGAATGAATAAGTAAATAAATGAATGAACAAGTGAATTTACAGAGGATCAATTTCCCTGGGAACCATGTCTCTGCCTCATAAGCACTGGTCTTTGTTTCTTGTACTAGGACGGTGGGGATCCTGAATTTGCTGACGCTGAAAATGTTTAGGAAGCATGACGGCGTCATCCAGGATGACGACTACCTATCCAGGGTCCTGACACCTAGCAGAAAGACTGACTTTATCATGTTTCTAGTGATTCATGGCCCACCCAGCACAATGCAGGCTTCTGGGTTTATTATTTTACCATTTCAGCCCGTCTTCATGCAAGTGATTCTCTTGTCCTATTTCAGTCACAGCAAGATTGAATAAAATCTTCAAAGGCAGAGTATTGTGGCACTATACTTAGCCAATTCACAAACATATATAAAGTACTTCTCTAGCTGCTATACACAAACTGTACAACTTGCCTGGCTTCATCTTGTCTACGGAGGCACAAGAAATGCATATTTGTCCTTTGGAAGGGAAATTCCTCTCTCTGCCACTTCGAACACCTGAACCAGGTGCTCATTAAGCTCCCTGATTCTGTCAATATCTTGTGGCCTAGATCTTATCTCTGTCCTCTAAAGATCACCTGCTACGGCACCTGGGTGGCGAATTGGTTAAGCGACAGTCTTCCCCTCAGGTCATGGTCCTGGAGTCCCAGGATCAAGTCCCACAGCCGGCTCCCTGCTCAGCACGGAGTCTACTTCTCCCTCTGACCCTCCCCACTCTCATGCTCTCTCTCTTTCTCCCATTCTCTCTCTCCCAAATAAATAAGTAAAATCTTCTGAAAAAAATAATAATAATAATAATCACCTGCTATATATCTACCAAGCTAGAGTTAAGGCCCATTCCAGCTATAAATAAGGGCATATTGATGTATGTGTATTACTTCACTGTGCATACATAACAAAGGCCTAAAGTCTCTGAGGTATTCAAATCATGGTCAGCTCTCTCTGAATGACATACTAAGACCCGCTGAATCTCTTCTGTAAGAGCAGAAGGGGCCCAGGACAACTGGGCGGCTCAGTTGGTTAAGCGTCTGCCTTCTGCTCAGGTCATGATCCCATGTCAGCTCAGCGGGGAGTCTGCTTCTCCCTCTACCCGCCCCACCCACCAGCTCATGATCTCTCACTCTCTCTTAAATAAGTAAATAGAATCTTTGAATAAATAAATGAGCAGAAGTAGCCCATAAAAAGCACCCAGTTTGTCCCTACAAGCTCGCCGAGATCACAGTGAGTGACACATGCATACAGAATCG